TCAGCAGCCAAAGAATGTAAGTCTTCTGGCAATGTTGTGGATGTTTTGATCACATAAGTAATATATTTGAAATTGGGGTACCAATGAGGACTAGAGAAAAACTTGACTCTCTTATTAAATATATTGTTTTCTTATTTAGCATTCAAACTCCTTGGTATTAAGCTTTAGATCTTGTTTGTCTGTAGTATTAGACAAACATGTTGCTTACGTTTTTATTTGGAAATGTATTAAAATGTAACCCTTCTGCTTACCAGTGTTATGCCTAAAGGGTTTCTGTGAATTACTAAAAAATACTCTCTTCAAACATTATTGCCAGCTGGCAGGTCCCCTTGTGCAGTGGAGTACAGTTACCTGGTTCCTGCTCACCAGCTGGGAAGAGTTGTACAGGGAAATCCTGCGGGTCTCACTGATAAAATGGAGAGTTATACGTCCCAGGCAGCAGTACCTGGCTACAGACTCCCCTCTAAAAACTTGGTAAATAGTTCAAGTGGCAGTTTCATTTAAACATGTGAATAGGGTCTGCATCTCTTTACCCAGTTACGAGCAAGGAAGGAGTGGTTATTTTGTAACAGAGTGTATCGGCACTTAGAGTCTGTCTCTGGTATTTTCTTGCTGCCACTTCTGCTGCTAGCAGGTCCCTGGCAATGAATAAACCCCTCAACTGCAGAATTGTTTTTGTGCTCCAAACCTGTAAGTCTGGTGGCTAAACAGCCTCAGCAACGTGTGCTAAAATGGCTGTGTATTCACTTTAAAAAGTGGTCTTGTTTAGATTAGGCTTTTGGTTGTCCAGCTAGAAATATGGTTTCACGTTGAACCAGAAATGTTTAGTCTTAGAAATACCAACTCTTCATTCATTTACAGATACTGGATATGATTGTGCTAAAGCTTTCTCAAAACTATTCCATATTAATTCATCATATTCTGTTCTCTTTAGTCTAGTAAAAGTGATGGTGCACAGAAAGAAGTTAAATACGAGCCATTTTCTTTTCCTGATGGTAAGTACAGGGAAATAAGTCTTATTTTAAAGTAACTTTCTGTTTACTTGTGCTTAAGTGGACCTGATGGTAGGAATCTTTTGAGCACCCTGCTTAGTTTTATTGCCATTGAAAATTAACCTTTAGAAACTGACAGAAGTTTAAGGAATGGAAAAATTAGACAAGTCAAAATGCTGTTGAGGCTTAATTGTCATCCAAGCCAGGAGCTGGTGATACACGGAACACATGCACATCAAAGACATTTGCATGTCACACGCAGTTGTTTTGTACATTTCCTTTTCAGTGGGTGGTAGAAAGCTGAAACAAAAATAAAACCTTAAATTGGACTTTTAAAACTGCTGTGGTGGTGCCAGTGGTGCCTGATTTTGGGGGCCTTAGAGGCTGAATGCCCTAATCCTTCACCTGCTTGTTTAGCACAGTTCAGAATTTATTTTGGAGGTCTTGTTTACCCAGATGGTCACCATTCCATGCCTCCTAAGGGGCCTGTGTGGTGCTCTACAGGAAAAGTTGCAGGGGGAGGCGGGGAGGCATTGACTAGCTCAAGAGCACAGTGAGAACAGGATGTTCTGGAGTGCCAAGAAGTGCGCTTAAGATGCGTTGGGGACTATAACACCCTTCTTACTACGTTTGGAATTGTCCCTCTTTTTACACTGAAAGATTGAGTAGTGGACCTGAAGTAGGGGGAGAGTGGTTGCAGTGCTGCTGTACCTGAGCTGGTGCTCAGCCCCTCGGTCCTTGCCCTTTTCTGCCTTGCCCCGGGCGCAGGCAGCAGCTGGTGTCTGAGGAAGTAGCAGCTGAGCCTGTTCAGAAGGTTCACTGTCTGTACTCCATCATTATAATGGTTTAAGCTTTTGCATTACACCCAGGATACGTATTTATGTCATGAAAACGGAGAACATTCTCAGTTTCCCGTGAAGCTGTCCTGGCTGAAAGCAGCTGCTTTTAGTTCACACAGATTTAGAACAGTGCTGTAAAGAGGGTTTTGCATGGCTGCAGTGCTGGAGTGTGGCTAACATGTCTTCAGTCTGTTAAAAACACGAAAACTAGTCACGTGAGACTCATGTATCTTTTTTCTTCTTTTCCTTCAGATATTGGTTCTAACAACTGTGGCTATTATGAGCTGCAGGCAGTGCTAACACATCAGGGCAGGTCAAGTTCCTCTGGGCATTACGTGTCTTGGGTTAAAAGGAAACAAGGTAACAGAAAAATAATAAATTACAGCACCATTAAGCATCCCTTTGCAGCCTCTTTCATTTAAGGGGCTATTAAGCATGCTTAGATTTCACGTACATAAATTGCAACTACTCCTTTTTTTGCAGATGAATGGATTAAATTTGATGATGACAAAGTCAGCATTGTTACACCAGAAGATATTTTGAGGTTATCCGGGGGTGGCGACTGGCATATAGCTTATGTTCTACTCTACGGGCCTCGCAGAATTGAAGTAATTGAAGACGAAGCTGAGCAGTAGTCTTCGGTTTTAGTCATCTGCCTAGGTGTGAAATAAATGCTGATTACTGATCACTTCTTTAACCCCAGAGAGCTTTAGCAAGTGGATAGATAATTTGTTCAGACCTTTTCTTGTGAAGAGGGACATTGTTTCAAAACTGACCCATTACCGACTAGTCACTGCCGGACTAGAATGCCCACTGTGGTGGTGACAATACTTAAAATAGCTTTAATGTCTTGCAGAAGATAATTTTTTTTTTAAATGAGCCTCTTCCCCCCCCCCCCTTCCTCTCTCTAATGTTATCAAGTATTTATTACACACCTATTCTCACATTTGTTACTCTTGCATGGTTTATACCACAGTTCAGTAGCTGTCCATCCTTTGCCTTACCTGGCAGTTTTGTTAGGAAGGTAGAAGAGAAACTGTTGCCTTGTTGCGTAACTCAGTGCTGCTGCCCACAGCCAACAGTGTGGCTACAATCACGTGTTTGTCCAGCCTGACCTGCTGATTCAGTCTGTTCTGTTGCTGGCATCTCATGACTTCAAAATAAATTGTGATCAGCAACGTGTCTCCATTAAAAAAAAAAGTTCATGTCTTGGTAGCGTAGTTAGTATGTTTGTTTGCACTTCTTGGGCTGCCACTGATGAATGGCTCAAAGTCCTGTAATAAAGCCACTTTTCTGGGGTAAGATGAGGGATTGAGCTCCTGTCCTAATACTCAGTAGATAACATTGAGTGTGGTGGCTGCAAAACTGGGCTTTGCTTCCTTATGGTAACTTCTGTTCCTTACCCACAGGAACCAGCAGCTGTGCACTAGTGGGAGGCCACAGTCAAAAATGTTTTTGGTGTTGGCTACAGCCAGAGAAGCACCTGGGCCATCCACAGCACTTGGCCTCCATGTAGAGGATCTGATTTTTAATGTGTCCCAGTCCCTTCAGGGAGAGCTGGTCCATATTCCTACAAAACACCCTCATTTGTGTCTTCATTAATAGTTATTGTGCCTCACATGCTCAACAAGGACCCCTTCTTTTCACCCTCCGTGCAGCTGTCACCTTCCCAGGTAGCTTTTATTGTTCACAGCGTGTGTTCCTGGTGGTTGTGCTGCTGCCTTCACTGAACAGCTCCCCCAGGGACACGCCAAAGGCCCATGCGGGTGTATTTGAGGTCAGATGATGCTTAAAGGCAAGCTCCACCCACTTAGGAGGCCCCAGTGCCGTGCTGGCACCACAGAACCAGTACAGGCTCCTCTGGGTTTAAAGGCTTGTTCTGTTAAGGGTCAAGAACTTAACTCATCGGACACGACTTCCTTCAGTCACCTTTGCTGGGGTTGACCTTGTCCCCAGCACCAAGGTGGCAGCAGGACACTTTGGGAGCTCTTGGTCATCCTCACACCCTCAGTTCACGATACACTCACATGCCGTAATTGAAATTGTCACATTTTGTACCTTCTACCAAACTGTACCTGCAGCAGGAAGGGAGTTAGGCTGTGTGACTTCCAACACTGACTTTCACTGAAGCATCCAGTTAACAAAGTCCTAAACCAGTTAAATCCAAAAGCACAGAGCAGTCTCCACAGCACCACAGGCGGGAGCCTGCCTCCTGGAATCAACCACCCTGGGAAGTCCCAGGTATGACAAGCAGTAGTCTGCAGAGGAAAACTCTGTGATAGGTAGTTTTCCAAACACTCATCAATTAGATTTCACTGAATGATACATGCATTCTACAAGAAATAGACAGAAAACAAGTTGTAGCCAGCTACAATTCAACACCACAAAAATCTTGCTTTTTGCTGGGAAACATCCAGAATTCACCAGCTTGCACCCACTGAGAGCTAGCCATAGACTTAAAAGGAAACCAACTGTGAACTGGCACCAAAAAACCCAGTGTGACTCAGGGGAGTTCCTACATAGCCAAACACGTGCAAAGACTGAAATTAATAATTACTAATAAAAACAATTGTGGAAACCCCCTAAGTAAGTGCTGACTGTCAAAATCCAAAGGAACCAGTCCTTCAGCAGGTGAGCCCAATGAGCACAGCACCCCTTCAGGGACAGCGAATACCAGTGCCTTCCATCTCCATCACAACCTTACTCTCCTCAAAGTCAACTCACAAGCAGGTAGGCTTTGACAGTCTACAGCTCCTCACCACCCCAAGCCCTGACTTAGAAGACCTTCACACCTACCCCTGCACTGAGAACCCACCCAGAGACACCAGGCAGGTACAGAGACGATCAACCGCTCCATCTCGTGGGAGCCACCGCAGCTTGGCCGGTGCCAGACCCTGTGGCTGCAGCTGGCCCGGAACTCTGCCCTGACTCTCACTCCTCCCTTCTGCATTTCCTCTTTCTGGCTCAGGCTGACTAATACTTTTCTCAGAAAATCTGGACAACTGAACAATATTATTAAAAAGCTTTATCATTTATTGAACATAGAATATCAAAAATCTGTTACCTAGCAACAAGTCACAACTAACAACGACAACAACAGCCAGAACACTCACAATCACCAACGGCCCCCACCGTCAAAACCAAAGGCGGAGCCGGCAGCTGCAAGGAGTTAGCTGCTGCCCTCAGTGTCGTTGGTCAGGCTTTCCGCGAGGTCACCGAGCCCGGCTTTGTTCAGCGCAGTGATGAGGTTCTCGAGGGTCGCGTGGGCGCCCTCCTGATCCTGCCAGGCAACCAGCAGCTGCTTCGCTCTCATCTTCATGTCCTCGCTGTCCAACTCGATCTGCCGTATGTCAGAGTCCTTCATTTCCAAGTAGGGGGCCAAGGCCTTCCACTGCTCCCCCAGCCTGAGAGCAAATGACTCAATTTGGTCACCTGTCATGGCTTTGTCCCGCTGTACCTCTGGACCTGGGATAAAAAAAAAAGGGGGAAAAAAAAAAAAAGAGAAACAATCAGTGAGACACAGGGAATGTCTCCAGGTAACTGCAAACAATTCTTCCCTGATGTGCCCCATTTTAAACCTCCTCTTTATTCACCAACACGCTGACTTACACTTCTCCTCTAGTTGTTAAAACCTACTCAAGAGCTCTGAGAAGATTCTGGCAGATTCACAGCCACTGGACACAGGGAAGGACATGCAGGATCATGATCAGGGTTACAGATGGATTTTCACAGATCTGTTACCTGGGTTTCAGGAAGAATATCCCTTATTGCCCGTGACAAACAAAATCTTGCTTTTTACATTATCTCCTGTTTGATTAAGAACTGCAAAAGGCGTAAGTATATGAGAATTGTCTCCTCCAAATGAAAACACAGATTTTGACAGGCAGCCCGCAACTTTCAGTACTAAGTGAACTAGGATATTAAAATACAAAGAGACCTTTAACATTTAATTGTCTTTCAGACTTATTTTAGTCACTTTACTCAGTTAACCAAGGTAAAAACCAGCTTGTTTCCCTTTCACTGAGTCATTTAAGCCTCATATTCCTATTAGTAGCAAAACCGTAAAGAAAAAAGCCCTGAAGACTTAATTATGAGTACATATCAATCATATTCTTAATTTTAAATAAAGATCTCGCCCTCATGCCACCTGAAGAGCCAGCTGGCATGGAGCAGAAGTTTCAGTTCTCCAGTACTTGTCAGTCACGCTCATTTATCTGAGCTAAACTCACTGAATCAAGGGGAAAGAATGGAAGATCATGAACACAAGAACAACAAAAGCAGTCACTTCCCTTATTTCTAAGCACAATGGCATCGAGCAGACTGCAGCTCTGCTGTCTTTGCAGAAGAAAAGATGTAAATTCTTTGCAAAGCAAGATGTAAATTCAACACAGTGAAACTGCAAAGGCTGTGTCAGAGTTGAAGAGAACTTTGCCACTAGTGGCAAGGAGACTGTGGAAAAGGTCAGGTGCTGGATGGAAAAGGCCAGCAGATGAGAGATTCAGAGAGGCCCACAGGTGGTTTTCTACTAACAGAAAAAACTTTCAACAGAATTTCAGCCACGTTTGCCCTGCACATCTCAACTGGATTCAAGAGCTACCCTGGGAAGCAACACGCAGGGAAGAAGGTGCTGTGAGATGAAGGGATGAATGAGGGTGGAGGAAGGCAGATTCACAGCCACTGGACACAGGGAAGGACACGCAGGAGCACAACATACCAGGGTTACAGGCAAGAGACAAAAATGGAAGGACTGGATCACAGAAAAGAATGAACAAGAGATGACGTTTGTCAGGAAGGTTGCTCTTCTCACAGAGAAGCGTTTGCTGCCTTTAAGATATTTTAAATGAAGAGGAAGTGAAGATCTCAGGGTTGGAATATATCCCTTTCTGAAAGTCCCGTAACTACTCACCCCAGCAGGGGCTCGAGGGAGGCACTTACCTGTGACAATTAACAGGCAGAAAAAACAGGAAAACAGGCCAAGGAATGCATGGGTAGGTTTTATGCAGCAATGCTGGCATTTTAGCAAAACACCACCTACTCACACTGCAAACACACACCATAGAGTGAAAAAGGTGGAAGAGGCTCCTCCTAGTGCAAGTTCTAATCCAACTCCAACAAGCTGGATGCCTCCAGCACCGAGACCAAGAGGTTGGTCCTGGTGCCACACCCTGAAACAGCTGAACCGTTTGGTAACGAATGTGGGTTCAAGTTGGAAGCACTGGGGGTAACCAGGACTGGTGACCCTCAACAGAAACTATGATAAAACATATCAAGAGAGAAACTGAAAAGACTGAGAACATGCAAATCTTACTTTCATTGTTTTCCTTTAATAAAGCATCATTATCTTCCTCATCTTCATCTTCGCCTGTTTTTATTTCTTCAGAAGGAGGCTACAATGAGAGAACTAAACATCACTGGATGAATTCTGTGTTTAAAGAGAAACTTTACAGCTCTGTGATTGTCTCTAGAATGTGTGTTAAATGTAAAATCTGCCACAACCCCGTATGAGAATTCAAAATCCCCCCCAGTCTCCTGTAACCAAAACACCAGTAACAAGGATTCTAATAAAACATAGTATCAACTAAAAAAAACCTAATGAAAGTATCCACCACCTTCACAGGATTCTCTCCTCTTCATAGCAACTACAACTATGCATTCCATACCTAGCTTTATTACTGAAAAAAACCTCACAGTGAACCAACTTTCTATAGAAGAGGGCAGACCACTACTGATGAACAATATTTATTAATTATTCTTCACTAATTCTATTTCTCACTCAGGAATTCCTCAAAGTTCTGTGTACTTAGGCAAACAACAAACTTTCCACTCTCTGACTTAGTTACTGAGCAGACAAGATGAACAAAAGCCTTTATCTTTTCCTACGTTTGAAGCACAGGCCTCATCTACATATTTGTTTCTTGCCATAACACTTGGTACATTACAGGACCATCAGGAATGTCGCATAAAGTCATATCTTAATATATTGCAACAGCTTTCCCCTCCCAGTACTCTTTCTAAAACTGCTATTAGCATCTAGGTAACTCCGATGGCTGAACAAACAAAAACGTAGAACAATTCAACTTTTATACCTCAGTAGTTTCACGTTACAAAAAAGGAAGGTGTCAAATACAGAAGCATGGGCTTGTATCTGCAAGAAATTGCTGGGTTGTGCTAAATCGAAAATTTAGAAAATGCTCCCTTCCCCAACTGTTATTCTCTCTGACATTTGTGAATAAAGTGATCGGAAAAACTCCTCCCTGGCCTCAAATTTGTACTGCTTAAGATGCAAAGGGTAAACTTACAGCTTCACAGGGTCCATTTTTCATTAAACATTTTAAAAGTCAGGGAGCTGACAGAAGAGCTCTGATAAATCTTGCTGTGAAGCTCTGGTGACACTTAGCACAGCCTCTTCAGCCACACATCCTGCCACTTTCCCTGCCACTTCGGGGTTTTTTTGCCACCCTCCCACCCCAAGTACCAAACGCATTGCAGAGACAAGCAGGAAGTCAAACGAATCCAGCATTTATTATTATAGGATAATATTACTTACAGGCAGCTCCTTGGCTAATTTGATTACCATGTTTTCTAGATATTCAGGTAAACTCTTGAACTGCTGGTTTGTTGGCTGGAAGAAGTGGGGACTTCTACGTGCTAGAAGCCTCAGTGCTCTCCAGCCATAGTTAGAATTGTTCACAGCCCTATAATAAAATACAAGTTTAGTTAGTAACAGTCTGGCATCTATAAAAGCACAGAAAAAGATCTGAGGCATTTACTAAATAATGTAGTTGTATCCAAACTTAGATACTTCGTGGCACATTACTGGAGCCCTGCACAGATGTTCGTAACACTGAGAAGAGTCTGTTTTCTTTAACAATCCAAAAATGAAAGAGATCAAAATAAAGCGAAACACAAGAAAGACTGACATACTTATACTTATTTTCAACCATGTTTTCAGGATCTGCTTGTTCAATAGCTTCTTCAAAAAATTCCTCCAGCGTTGGCATATATTCCCTAAAAAATAAAATAAGGAGCTTAATAGTCCTCACAATCCACTCCAGAACAGCTAGTTTTCAGTTCCTTCACACATCTCAAGCTTATCCACTGAAGAAAAACAACAAACACAAACCTAACCAAACAAACTAATCAAGTTTAACAGTTGCAAATAAGGAAATAATCTGTTTGATACATGTTCCTATAACATTATTTACTGCATAATCCCTGAAGCGTACCAGTAGTTGATAGCACTGCCTATTACATGTATTTAAACCTTCTGCCATTACTAAAAGTTGACATGAACATCCGTTGCCCACACTGGGTGAAAAAGGACTACAGGATGGAAGACAAGAATTCGGGCAATAAGGAAACAAAACTTTCACAAAAATACCTGTAACAACCAATTGGTTGTGTCAGAAATATGCTGCCACTCACACAGCTCAAAAGCGCGTGAGAGTCTAAAATGGGTATTAATTTTGGGCAATTTGACAGGACAGGATAAACAAATCGTGGACTCTTTACCCACTCTTTACCTCCCATTTCAGTTTCACCTGCTACCAGAGAAAGCTAAAGACTGCTCCCCAATTTCAATTATTTACAACCATTAGAGAGCAGTATTAGGCAGCTTAATGTTGTGTTTAATGAACCCATCTTAGTGATGCCCCAACTTGTTCAAACACATTCACTTCATCCCCCATAGTGATCCCTGTACCTTCTGCTGAAGGCACTCCAGTTAAAGCACACTCAATACAGGTCCAAAGGCATCATGAGAAATTGATGTATCTGAAGCGGACCGAAAAGCATCTGAACTCCTGGGCTCAAAGAGACACGATCAGTGGCATGATCGTGTTGGGAGGCCTGTCACCAGCACATGCCAGGGCTCAATACTGGGACCAGTGCTATTTAGCACCTTGATTACTGACCTACTGCTGAGGGGACAGAGCACACCCTCAGCAAGTTTGTAGATGATGTAAAACTGGTAGAAGTGGTTGACAGATCAGAGGGTAGAGCTGTCAGTCAGAGGGATCTCAACAGCCCAGAGAAACTGGCTGACAGGAACCTCAAAGTTCAGGAAAGAGAAATGTCAGATCCTTCCCCTGAGAAGGAACAACCCCAGACACCACTGCTACAGGCTGGGGACTGACTGGCTGGAGAACAGCTCTGCATAAAAGGTCTTGGGGGAAAACACCAAGAGGACTGCCAACAGGTCAAGGAAAATGATTCTCCCTTTCTTCTGCACTGGTGAGATACACCTGGAGTGCTGGGTGCAGTTCTGGGCTCCTCAGCACAAGAGACATAGGTCCGTGCAAAAGGTTGTGCATGGACAGGAGAATCTGACATCCAAGGAGAGGACTGCTTACCCTGGAGAAGAGAAGGCTCAGGGGCAATAAGGAAGAAAGAGTCATACTCAATGCTATTCAGAAGAAGTACAAAAAGCAGTTGGCACAAATTAAAATACTCAAAATTCCACTTAAGCATCAAACCCAAAACCACCTTCCTGTGAGGGAAACACTGGTAAGGTTTCTCAGGAAGGCTATGGTGCTTCCACTCTTGGAGAGCCATTCCTGACTGGAGAAGATCCTAGGTAACTTCCTCTAGCTGGTCCTGCTTCGACCAAAGCGGGGAGTAGTTAAACCCTAGAGGTCCCTTCCAACCTCAGCTCTTCTGTGATTTAAAAGATAGTATTTGTGGTTCGCAGGGGACGTATTAAAAAGGGGACTAATGTTTCTGTTCTTAGAACAGCTATCAGTTGTTTCTGAAAGGTATTCAAACCAGTACATAAGGAACCATGACCTAAAGAACATAACAGAAATATTCTCAACGATCAGGACAGCTTGCTGCTTTGAACATTACAAGCAAGAAATACAGATCACTTAAGAGCTGTGGGTTACTGTGAGCCAAGATGATCAGTGGTGCCAAGCAAATTCATAATGTTCTGTATTTCTCCTACCTAATGTTTGACAAAGATACACCTGATTCTACAAAGGGAATCCAGTGATCAGTCACAGGAGAAAGCACAATGCTCCACACATGCATTTTAGTTTTGTTTTGAAAAACCACATTCTTCCCAGGAAAGCACTGCTCCATGCATGTTTAAGTGTACTATTACCACTGACTACATCTTGAAAACCCATCTGATTTTTCCATTCAAAGAGCAGCTATCTAAAAAGACAACAGGTAAGGAAGTATTACCCCATTTGATTGAAGACATGAGGAATCAAAGCAACAAGCTACAGTCACTTCACTGCATTCAGTCACAAAGTCTACAGTAAGACTTGGAACCAAATCCAGAACCTCCAGGACCTTCTTTTTCCTACTTACCATGGCGTGCATCATCTTGCTTTGTCTCCATTTGTTTAGTTTGACTTCTTGGTGCTTTTTCTGTTTTGTTTTTTAAAGAAGTTGCAACACAATACAACTACACACAGGGAGTCAAAAGCTTTGGTTCCAAACACAACTCCACCTTTAGCCCCCGGCCTAGTAAAGGCAAATATCCTGCACACTCCAGTCTCACAAGAAAGGAAGGCACTCCTCCATCCGCAGAGCTCTCAACCTCTGGAAGAGGAATTCCTCCACTCAGGACATCTGCACAGCCAGCACCTCTGTATTGGGTTGGCCCAGCCGGATTTTG